AAAAAAAAAAAAAATTATTATGATTATAAGTAGGTACTGAGTTAAAATTAAAATGTATTACTATAAATGTATATTGATAGTATATATAAGCATCTACTTACAAAATAAAAATAAAAATATTGCTGACGCGTAAATCTATAAATAACACATTTATAAAAATCATGACTGATACGCAGATACTCAGAAAAAAATGCTTACAAAAATAAGTTACGTTAAATATCTTTTAAAAATGTTAACTTATCTAAATTATCGTCAGCGTAAATTCTTTTTCGAATGCTAAGTACCGAGTATTTTTTATATCAACGTTTTTTTATGTCCTTTCAAAGTTCATCTTAGAATTAGCTGTTGGGTTACTGATTCTGTGTGATTTTGCACTTTTTGTATTAATTTAATGAATTCAAATCACCTGAAAAATAGTTTAAAAAATAATCTATTTCTACAACATTAACTGTTTCATGTTTGAACTTACCTAAGTTAGGAAAAACTAGTATATGTATCTTCCTGTAACACAATTTTGTAACGTTTGTAGTTTTTAGTAAGTCTCTAAATTCAATGTTCAACTATTGACCACATTTACTTTATTACTTATTAATAGTCAAATAAAACCAATTATATATGACTATATGAATTATCGTAAAAATCAATCGTAAATCCACAAATTGTTATTTAATTTTTGTATATTATAATGTATAATTGTTTTTGAAGATACAGAAATTTATATTATATGTAAATCTTCTATACACATATAAAAAATTTATTGCATTATTATGACATATCAACGCGTCAAAATACAAAATTCATACGATGCGAAAACTTATAAAACATAAATAATTACTTATACATTTCTACATATTTTTAAGTGTATATTTCGACGAGTTATGACAAAGAATAAAATGGTCATTAAAATTTGAATTTTTTGATTTTTCTCATTTCTAACAAAATGAAAATAAATTATTTTTCAGTGATCATAAATATATAAACAAAAATATCTAAAAGTGCAGTATTTGTATATATATATATATTATAATTTATGAGTGAACGTTCTGGGATATCCTACCGATTAAGTTAAAAAGGATAAAGGTTAAGTTTACGGTTGGGTCACATAGTTCATGTAGTGAAAGGTTAGGGAGGATCGAAAGGATCACTACGAAATAATAAATATACAACATTATAATACATATTAATACAACATAGTAACATTTTATAAGCATAACGATGAAGATTTATATTTCGCGTTAAACGATCTATATTTAATATATACGTCAGTTGTAATATTTTAAAATATTTTTTTTTTCATCGGTTGAGATATTTGCACATTATTTTAATATCAATAAACAATAACGTTAACTTTTTTTATAATAATTTCGTATTATACTACTTAGCTTAGTACTATCGCTTCAGACATCAAAACAAGTTTCCATTTTCCATCAGGCATACACGTTAAGTTTTAAATACAACAATGTTTCCATTTAGAATATTTCCAGAAAGATAAAAGACATTACAACGTATTCATTATAGTATTTATTATATTACTTATTAATTAAGTTTTGAAAAAAATAAATAAATAAATATTCGATAATTTCACGACTTTATGCTGATGAGTATCTAATTAAATTTTGATGAATAAAATAACTCTATTAAAATTTACAATTTTTAAATGACTATTTATATGTTGGTTAAAAATGTAATTGTTAAGATTTTTTGAATTTTTCACGTGCCAGCGTCCAAAATAAAGTTATTTACCTTTATTAAATATTTATATATTATGTTATAATACAAGTGAAAAACATCAGTTAATGTTAATAAAATAACTGAACGTGTGGTGTAATGATAACAATGTTCGTAATATTTGAGCAATGCTAATTTTAAATATTTATTTCCCATTAAAAATTAAACTTTATTCTATAATGAATGGTCGTTTTATACAACACCAACATTTGTATGGGCATTGTAAACACTAAACTATACACACTACAAATTAAATACCTAGAGTCGTACTTAAGACATTTTATAGCTAGTGGCAATCATTTTTATGTGTCTCTCTCCTTCCCTTTCTATGAAGGGTAATCACACCTCTAAAAAATCGAAAAATATGGATTTATATCACGGTGTATCAACTCTCAGATAACTGTGGTCAAAATTTTAAATCCTGTATTGTTGACATATGCTATGTATATTGTACACATATTGTGATAATTCCAATGTTCGCCTTATTTTTATTAATAATAATAAGTACATGGCTCTTTATAATTAAAATAACTACCCTAACTCAATTAACACTGCCTAATTGTACATATATTATTATAAATAAAAGTTTTTTTAATTATCTCTTTGTTATTACAATAATATATTTTTTACGTAACATATTATTATTAAGTAAGTTTAAGAGAAAAAGTTAGAAAATTTCAATGATATACCCCGTAACCAAGTAACCAATAAGAGAAGCATGTTTTACAAGGGCCTAAAAGAGACATAAAAAGTGTGTTTATACTTAATTTTGTTCAAAAACACAAAATTAAGAGAGGCAAATTTAAAGTTACATCCTGCTAGAATTTTATACAATTCTAAATTATATGATGGAGCCTTTTGTTAAAATGAATATGTAGGTTATTATATTTTAATATTTTAAAATTTTTATTAATTTCTGATTTATCAGAATCTAAATAGTATTATTTATTTATTTTGAATTTTACAATTTGTGTTATTATTTTTATAATAAATATAAATTATGTATATAACTTTATAAGGGTGGTAAAAAAATAAAATGATAAATAACTATATTTTATAATGAGGCTGAAGACACCGGTGAAGCGGCCATCCAATGATGAAACTTTATGAGAATATCACTGTAAATTTCAGTTTTAATAAATGAATCACAACAAACTAAGTATAATATTTTATATTTTCTTCGTATGACACTTTTGTATACAATATACTTGATCAATGTGGATATTTAATAAATTATCCACATGGCTCAAAAAATTGAGCATTATATATTTAGCGCGGTCAGTATTTATATTTACATGAATATATCTAATATAACTGCCCTGTAATAATGATTTAATAGTAAATTGCATCTAGACTACACTCATAATAATCAATTGATTTTTCTAATTTAAATAAATTTTTAAACACTGTTTATAGAATAATTTATATTTTATAACACTAAATTTTTTAGAAAAAAATAATTGTTGATTATTTTGATTTTTGAATTGCACAGAAATTATCTGAGGTCGATCGTTGTTTATTTATTGGCGTGGTTTAGTAATTAATCTCATGAAATGAAGTAGGGACCAGTAAAATCTGTGAAGCACTCCGTAAAACCAACGGTAATAATAATATTGTATAGAAAAGTCAGCAAGCACAATAAACTCCAGGTGGTCGCTGGCCAATCCATGACTGTAATGAGAATGGGACCTTGTGGTGGCGTTATTACTTTTTTTTTTAATTACCAGTTGAAGTGCCCCGATAAAAGTAAACAAAATATTACGAATCGTCATACGTAAGTACATTAGCTAAATAGTGTATGTATAAATGTGTTATACGACTACTCGTAGGTACTTAAATTATTCGAACGGAAAAAAAAAAGATTCTCATGGTCAGATTATCCGCCGAACCCTATTGACAAAACGCGCTCTCAAGCCGTGACTGCAAGTACCTAATAAATATCATATTGTAAATAATTGTAATTAATGCGTAACATAAAGAATGACCGCAAATAGTAATAAATAATAATTAATTATTAGAATTAATTGAATCGAATCATCTCGGCACGTCACGATTCTCGTTTTTCATTTCACATTGTATACATTATTATATAATGTATAATTTTTATACGTTGTGTTTTGTAACTATTCAATTAACGTGTCCGCGTGACTCTGATAATAGAATACACGTGCGAGAACAAATCATATGTCATTATGTAATAAGTAATAGGACGCGTGTACTTACGTATAATAATTGGTATTAGGACAATATTGTATTGTGCCAAAGTTTACAACTTAAGACTTTAAGTATGGTGTAATTACATTTGACTATTTCAAGTAACGCTTCCACACGCTACTATTGTGTGTCATGTATTGTATTTGAACCAATCACTGAAATGACTCGATTTTTATATATATATAGTTTAAAATATTTATCAGTATTTTCTGCTAGTGAATTTTTTATATTAATTTAAACTGAATGATTAATTGTCTCTATTCAAAAAATTTTCACATTTTTTTTCATGTATAATATACATCCAAATAAATATATTCTAACGAAAAGTAAATTTTTCAGTGAATATTAATTTATAGTATTTCTGCTATTTTACTTAGACTTGTTTACCAATCATCACCCTGCATCTTCATCAATTATTATTTTATTGAATTTTAGCTACTAATCCATCATTCACGTATATAAATTCCAATTTTTCTAAGTTTCCAATTACCACATTAACCTTGTTAATTTACAAGTATATAATATACATAATGTCTCCTTTTAGAGTTCTTCAAATTTTTATTTTTTGCCTCCTTCCTTTTGCGAAGTCTTAAAATAGATTTAGCGACATAAAATGTCAACTATAATTCGTCTGTAACTTTTATAAATATTTTCTGTACATATTAACTATTTACCTTAATAAAATAAAAACTAAATTAAATTTTAAAACTATATTATCAATATTGTACATTCCATTTTAATGGCAAATTTAAAATTAGTGTTAAATTGGATTCTAACAGAAATCAACAAATTTACTCATAGGTAAATACAAATAAATCATAAACTCGACGTATGATTATCATTAATCTAAAATATCAACTAAAATTTTGAATATTTAAACAGGTATACATACATTACATAGCTAAATATAAATTAATAATAGTTAATACTGTCAATGAATACTTAATAATTTAAACTTATTATTTTATTTATTTAGTAATATGATTTCATTGTCAAAAATATGATAAATTATATTTTTATATAATACTGTTTAATTTATAAAATTGATTATGTTTCAGAATATTTGAAAAAGTAGTTCGATATTGTGATGCCTTTATTACTCAATTGCCATTATCATTCATCTTAGGATTTTATGTAACGTATGTAGCTAAGAGATGGTGGAATCAATACTTGGCGATTCCGTGGCCCGACAGGTATGTAGAATATTATTATCTTTCGCTTTTTAAAAAATCCCCACCATCATATTATAAAATAAAATATATTTATTTTTTTGTTTCTCATAAGAGCAATGCATGTAATAACAATGTATGTAGAGGGCAATGATGATTACGGATGTATGATTCGAAGATCACTAATGAGATATTTAATTTTGACATTGATTTTGGTGTTGCGTTCTATCAGTTCACCGGTAAAAAAACGTTTTCCGACATTAGAGCACGTCGCTGAGTCAGGCAAGTTGTAATTGCATCGATCCAAACCATAAAAATAAACATAATTTTGTATAATAATATCATATTGTTGAAATATGCGTATATCTAAGTAAACATAATCATTATTAATTTTAATAAATATGTACAGGCTACATGACCGCTGACGAGATAGAAGTATTTTATTCGCTCCCCAAGGTAGAATTTAATACTTATTGGGTGCCTTGTACTTGGTTCATAACTTTGTTGAAAGAAGCCAGAAAATCTAAGCGAATAGAAGATTCCGAAGGAGTCAAGCTCATTATGCAGGTAATAATACTTTGTTTTATCACAATATTATATGGACAAACGTTAGTTAATACTTAATAGTTTGATAAAACAATTCTAAACACGTAGACAAAAAACTATATATGCATAAAATTACTTAAGTTATTACTGTACTATCTTTCTACACTTCATAATATTATTTATCGATCTACCGGCTACCTAAAATTACATTATTTGCCGTGTTTAAGTCATTATCATTCGTATTAATTTCGTAAACATTATATTTTTCAAACTACTAGACTATCTACAACCTTTTATTATATGCTATTGAGGCATCTTCTCATCTATGTAATTGGCAACCGTTATAACACTCGCGATATTTAATATATGTATTTAAATTTTAAATGTCAAGTGATCAATGATCAAAATAACCTGTATAGATACTATTAAACTCTCAAATAATATCTGTGATAAAATGAATCCTCCAATATTTTAGAGTTTAAAACCAAAAAATCCCTATGTTTTTGTGACCGATCTTAGTAAAAAAAAAAAAAACATTATGCAAAATAAAAAACCCACATATTCTATTGTAGACTATACAAATACTATAACTTTACATAAGTTACAGTCATTGTAAGACCAATTACATAATATTAAAAACAGAAAAATAATGTTCAATATAAATAATATTATCACACATGCAATATCCGTGTAACTATGATAAGAATGTAACTGTATCAACCTCAAATGCACACTTACTCCTTAAACACCCCTTACCAGCATTTATATAATTTATTTGGCGTGTATTATAGCATACCTTATACACTTAAGAATTTGACCTTACTACTTTAAACATCTCAATCTAAAATATAAGCTAAATCTGATGAAATGAATAGGCTAAAAAATTTATATCACGTCGAGATTTATTTTATGTAAAATGCAATTATAAATACCACCTAATACTTGTAACTTTAAGATATAAAAAAATAAAAACACCTAAATTCGTTGTAAAATAATGATACAAGACATAAAATAATAAAAATTATTCAAACTCATTTGTATCTTACACAATATCATATTTTTACAACGAAAAATAAAATATTGTAGGTACTCGAACCTAACGCTGAAAAATCGTTTTTTATATGCGAATAGTAATAAAACGTTTTCCTAACATCGGAGACGAAATAAAAATATTTAATTCTAAATTTCATCTACACAACTTTTGTACAATTTTATACGCCCAAAACCAAAATGAACATATCAATAAATTGTATAGAAATTTTTTTTTTTGTAAAGGCCGAACATTTTATATAACATTGTATACCTACTAATTAATTAACACAGTCTTTAAAAATTCTTTGATTTTTGATTTTAATCTGCTATATTGTAGGTATAATCCAATACGGTTTAATTAAATTTTTATATATGTTTTCTTGTTTATTCTACTTACATAAGTCAACAATCTTCTATAAAGAATATTAAAATATTCAGTTCTATACCTACTTTAAAAAAAATCTCAAACTTTGATCGACGTAAGAATTTTTAACGATTGTTAAGCTCCTTACTAAAAACTTACTAAAAGACTTACTAAAGACAATGGATTTTTTTGTGATATCGTTAGCAGTTGACAATGCAATGGATACGGCCGTATATACTGAGGAAAATAGTTATCTTGATCTTTTCATCTTTACTACAAATCAACAAGGGTCTATACTCAGTCTTCAATTTTTGCCCCATCAGTGAATATTTTAGTGTCTTAAAAATCTTTAAGCATTGTTCGTATATTTATTTCGTTTATATATGTTGACTTAAATTTCGGTTTTAACATTTATAACCTGAAAATGTTATGACTTGTGATTTTAATTTTGAAGTTATATTTATGATTGTGATATTTTGAACATATAATTATTATTATTATGTACCTGTAAAGTTAAATATTACTAATATTTACGTGGTTATGATTACAGTAAAATAGTTTTATAATTTAAAATTATCTATATTTTAATGGCTAATGAACTTAATCTAACCTCAGTTATTACTTTATATTAATTGTATGTTTTATGTATTAAATGAGGGGAGGAGTGTTTACTATGAAATCAAAATTAAATAATTGACAGAAATTAATTGGATATAAGTGGACGCCGCTAATAAGACTCACGGATATAAGGTTCTTAGTAGGTTAGGTAATTATTTTTAATAATAGACTTATTAAGTTTAGAGTGGTCCGGACGTATCCAAACACACTATAAAAAATTCAGTTATAATTTATAAGATCCGCCACTTCGTATGTAAGACTCAAATTTTATGAAAAAAAAAATGATAGAAAATAAACATTTTTGTTAAAATCTGGAAATAAATTTGTTTTCAAAAATTACATATTCTTGTTAGTTATTACTGGTTTTAATGCATGCTTTATAATGTGTGTATGTACAACAAATTTTATCACGTTTCACATTTATTGCAATTATTATAATAATTGTAGTGTGATCGAGACGTGAGTTATAAACACACTTTAAGGGATCTAGACGTGTGAAGGAGAGTTTTTCGTCACCGAGGTAATAATTTTAATATACAAAATGAATACGAGCAGTATATTCCCGAAATATTAGAACATAATTTAAAATAAACCAGAATAACAATTTTTTCATAATTAATAAGTACATACATAATTTATAGCTATTTATTAATATATAATAATTTTTATAATTTTTCAATTATTCACAAATAAGTAATAAATAATATGTAATATGTATGTATTAAGTAGATTAAAATAAAAGCGAAATAATAAAATAAAATTTATAGGTAAATATGTTGGTGTTTTTTTTCAACTCGCCTATAATATTCATTTGGTTATACGTAAGACTCGCATTTTGTGCTGGTCCCAAAGTGAGCTTTTTAAACGGCGTCTACTGTGTAAATATTGACAACAATTATTTTAAGATTTATTAGCTATGACAGTATTTTTTGCTGTTAATTTTTACTACAACCACAATAAATGTATGGATATAAATTTAACATTGAGACTCCGTCGGTAATTGGTTTGTGGTTTTGAACAAAACACAGTATTATTTTAATTTTAAAGTTGTTGATTTAAATTTTTAACAACTATATTTTATGATACTGACGTAAATAACAAAAATAACCATATTTATTGTGAATAATCTTTTTGCTATTAATAACGCATCATTTAAGTTATTTAATATGTTTCCATATGTTATATTACAACTTTGATAAATTAATATGTTTTACAGTTTAAATCATTTGTATGACAAAAAATGTTAAAGCTGCAATTTAAATAAAAATAAAAATAAATTTCAATCATTTTTTTCAAACTCATACTTATCGATATTATGTGATATAAGTGGATAAAATATAATAATAGGTTTAATTAGTTCATTGTTAACTACAAACAATGCAGAATTTAATCGAGAATATACTACACTATGATAAAATATTTAACAAAATCCAATTTTATTATGATATTTGTTTCATTTAGGAATTTATCGACTTCAGAACAAAATGTGGTTATTTGTGGAGTTACGATTGGATTAGCATACCGTTAGCGTATACACAGGTAACAGCAATAATAATAATAATAATAATATCATGATTTTATTTGTTCTGTAAATTAACAAAAAAATACTATTATTTTCATTGTATTTAGGTCGTTACAATTGCAACATATTCGTTTTTCATTACTGCCATTGTCGGGAGGCAATACGTGGAAGGATCAAACAAAATGCTGCAAACAGAACTTGACGTGTATATACCGGTGTTTACAATAGTTCAGATTTTATTCTTCATGGGACTTTTAAAGGTAGGTACGCAGTTAATTATATTTTAACGTGAAACCCAGTGTTTTAAGTGTATACCTAATTAATAATTTAAAAAAATTAATTTATCAAACTTATATATCAACACTAAAAGAACATAAATATTGTAATGACTAATAATTTTTTGTGTTTTAATTTACCGTCGTTAAAAAAATTATTAAAAGGAAAGCATAATTGAATAATATTATATATTAGGACGTACCTAATGTGTATTTATATTATTGTATATATATATATATATATAGATTTTGATGTTTTACAGATGTATAGCTATTATTTCTTGAGAAGATTAGTTAATTTGAAAATATGATATTAACAACTAAAACACTGAAATTGTAGGAATACTATAAAATATTAAGAATATAGAGAAAATAACTATAACAATAAATTCAAACTATGCAAATGGGCTAAAAAATGTCAAGAATAATTTCATGTATTACTACATTTTAGGTAAATACAAATTTTAATCATGAAAGTACAGTTTTATTTATTCTTGAGTATTCATAAAAACGAATAATAAAATATTGAATTCAGTAATATCGAAGTAGATTAATTAACTTAAAAATTTAGATTGTATCTATTTCAAATGCTAATCTGTAATTATTATTGTTATTAAATTGTTGTTTTGAATAATAATGAAATAAAATATATGTATTGAATTTAAAAATATATACAGCTATACAAGTAATCAAACATAAACATTAAAAAGATTAAGCACTTATACAACAGTTTTAAAACTTAACTTACGCATTTTTTATGGTACCTAAAACAGTAGTTAATCATGTGAATAATTATACAATTTATTATATTGGTAGTATTATAAATTTAAATAAGCAAATAATTTACAAGTAGGTATGCTGTACCGATATCTGTCATTAATCATTATTGAGAGATCTCAAAGATTTCATTTGATTTCAATAAACATTGGGTTAACCGAAATGATTCAATAAATATTAAAATATTATTTTAAATTAATTTATTCAACACTAAAAAATATATTTTATTAAAATATATAACTATTTGATGCAAAAATTCAATGGACGAAAATATGATTTATGAGTATAACGATATTTATAATGCTATCAGAAATATTTTTTTAAATAATGTCATAATACCGGTAGATACAATTATTCGTAAAGAAATGTAGACGTCAACAGATCTACTTAGGTTTAGTCTGCTCTAAGCTCTGACAATATCAACATTTCTATAAGAAAAAAAACTTGTTCATAATGTAAATTATTTTTTATATTTTTCAATTTGATTGATGTACTAAAAAAAGCACTCAATTATTCTCTGTATTTCTTTGTTGTATGTTGTTTTTATATAGGTTATAGCTTATTAAGTTGTTTATTAATACTGTTAATGTTTTTAGACTAAAATTTCTTGGTTAATTTATTTTTATACTAGTGTGTATAGGTAAATTGAATCTTAAAATAACATTTTTTACCTAAGAACATTTAAAATGCATTAATCAATTTTTAATATTTGTGCGTTATACATTTATGCATATAATGTATAATGTACATTGGTCATTTATTTGATGTTACGACTCGTAAATTATTTTTCAGTACTTGATATATACATACATTATAAAGAACTTAGTTGGTTTATTTATCTTTAGAAATATTATTCATAATATAGTAAATATTTGACAATATAAACAACATACAAAATTATACTTTTAATGAAAACTCCTATTTGAATTTGTAAATATCAAACTAACATATTTAACTTTCTTCCCTTTCTACTGTATAAAGTAAATATTTAAATAAACAACATTAAATAATAGCTGAACTTTTTTTTTTTAATATCAAACGACCATAAAATATGAAATATTAGTTGATAAGTTATTCTTAATTAAATTTAGTACACTAACATAGACACACAGTATTATAATTACATATATTATATTAATATATGTATTGTTTTTGAATGATACCAATTAATTAATAGTAATCAGTCATTGGAACATTATCAATCATGAATAAAATACACTTCATAGGATTCATAGATGTAATTCGTAATTCGTATATCAATCAAAAAAGATTTATTGCTATTTTTCGTTTTATCTCGTTATTTTAACTTTTTATCAAAATAAATGGCATAATAATGTGTAATTATTGTCATTTCAAAAATGATTTAAATACTTATTAAAAAATGAATATATTATTAAACATATCTCTAAAAAATAAATCACACATATGATATATTGTATCAATAAATATATCTTTTTATAGGTAGCAGAACAATTAATAAATCCTTTTGGTGACGACGAAGAAGATTTTGAATTAAATTTTTTAATCGATAGACATACAAAGGTAAATCAATTTAAAAATAATAACAATATCTTAACAACTCAGTTATATTTATTATTACAACAAAAGTGTTTAATCATACTCATACGAATTGTGTTCCGGTAGGCATCCTTTTTGGCGGTAGATTACCTTGCTAAAATTAAACTGCCTTTGGTCAAAGATATTTACTTCAACGAATTGGAAGTATCAATTCCTTACACAAGCGCGTCTGCACCGTTCAAGAAAAAATCGCATAGAGGATCAGTTCACCACATGCCGTAATAATCATTATTACAACAGTAATTTTATAAAATATAATGTCTTAGCCGTGTTATCGTTTTTCTCTTTTTTTTTTTTAGTGTTCCTGAAGACCAACATATGATGTTCTTACCCGAAATCATAGAAGAGGCAGACCCCGATCAGTCGAAAAGCAGAAGGCCTTCGATGTGTTCAAACAAAAATGAAGGAAAAATCAACTCGAACTGCAAGGATAAAGTTAATGATTCCTTTGGCATTATGCAGTAAGTCGATTCAAATAAACAGCCACACTTATACTTTCTAATAAAATTTACTCATTATATTGTATTAAATTATAATTGCTTTTATCTACTTATAAAATATTTGTAGATAAAGTATTATATTATATTTTATATCTCGTAAAAATGAAAACATGACACACTGCAGATGTCTGATGTCGACTAATTCATGTATTTTTAGTAATTTATTAAGACTAATTGGTAGGTACGTTATGTATTCTAACAAATTTTAATCGTCAGAGCACGTTTTGTTTTTAATTTAAACTCTGTTTTGTTGATTTATTCAGCAATAATCAACAAAACATTTTACAACAACAACAAAAAAAAATTTAATTAATTAGATATATTTGAAAACTAATTTAATAAGTAGGTATATTTTTAAGTTAAAAAAATAAATTTTATATGTTAATCATTTTTTAGTTGTATGTATTTTATTACCTTAAAATTATTAAAACCCCGTTTTGTAAGCCGCTATTATATATAATTAAAATTATACACTTCAAAGAAATTCAAAGTTAAGTTTTTCAAAGATATTAATTAAAATCTAAAGAATTTATACTATTTATAGTACATATAATTTTATGATTTATTTCCAAGAGTTATACGTTTAGGGTATTAATGTATAACATAATTTCAATAATCCGATATTTTATTTGATGTTTATTATACTATTGTGTACAAAATACTACTGATCGTAGGTCATAAACTCGTAATCCATAATTTTTCATTAATTACTAAAAGTTTTATAGACCCCATTTTATTTGGTATTGTTAGACATAATGTACGCCCACACAATACCAATAGATTGGTACTAGAATTCATGATTTCCATTGTACCTTGAATTCCTCTCGAGAGACAAAAAAACAACTCCAACCAACAGTCTAAAACTAGGTTAATCTAGGATCGAGCACTTTGAGACTCCGCGTTAATATTCGTAGAAATACGCCTATTACCAATGGATTTTGACAACATCATTTCAACAACTATCTTAAAACAAATTTTTTTAAGTCGCAGTTTTTCCACGGAGCTGAGAGATGCACCTAAATAACAATTTTATTTCAATATTGCAGTATAGTATCTTCTAAGCGGTCATTATTGTATTCGTTTTCATGGTAAAATTGAAAATTACTTCATCGTATATACTACAGCAAATGGTTAAAGCGTGTACCATATAGTGTTTATGTACGTTTAGATAGTTCAGGCGTTTTGCCCTCTCCAAATGTTCGTGTAGTAGCAAGTTTTTCAGTATCGTCAAGCCTTTATTTTATGCATTAAAATTAAAATATAGGTACCTAGCAACGTGCATTTATGCACGACACCGCGTTAATGGACGTATGCATACATACGCGTATTACATTTTCGCATTAGATTCCGCCGTATTCGGTGTAGCGTACTGCTAGTGTTTAAAACTAATATATTTTTTTTAACACGCGTAAATTAATTATAATACATGATTTAGGCACAGCCCAAACCATAGATAAGTTTAACTAGGTGAATGTGCAGTTTAGAGCGTCCAAAAATTTTCAAAAATGAGCTCGTTTTATATTATGATAAAAGCACATACAGACGTGATGATTATGTACGTATTATAGTATGAATTTATACGAAAAATACGATGGTGGAAACTTAAAAATGCATAACACGTAATATAAAATGATATAGTGTTATATTGGTATTTTATCACACGGGGCTTGGATGTTTATGATTTTTTTTTTTTTCAATCGGTTCTATTTTATGAATAACCGTTTACCGATATAAAACATTATACATCGAATAAGGTAATACTCATTCAATAAAAAATATCAACGTGTTATCTTTTAATTTTGAAAAAAAACATTTTAATAATAATTATTGTCGATACAAAGATTTAGTAAAATTATAATCGTAATTTATTGAAGCATACGCTTTAAGATTCCAGTTAAATTCGAGGAATTATTAATTTTTATTCCAATTTAGCACCCGTTCCATTTGAAAATCTTAAACACGCCACTGTTTTATTATTAAGTAACAATAGTTTTGAAATATTAAACAAAAATGGTACCAAATCGAAATACTAAACATTAACTACATGTTACCAGAGTAATTATTATGAAAAACAAATGTATTGCTCGTGTGTATTGATGTGTATATTGTGTATTTAAAAATTGTTTCCAAATAGATTCAATAGAAACAAAAATCTTTTAAGTAAACTATATAATTATCTATTTTTGTGCATACACATGGCATGTATGATATGTTTGTTCGTAAAATAATTGTGTTGTCTTCGTTGTTATTATGTAAGTCTGTGCACAGATTTTTATTTTATCAATAGACTTATTGGCCCGTAAAATTAAATAATATATCGGTTTTCGTTCGATACCACTATAGTATAGTTGTTTATTCCAGTGAATAGGGACTAGGACGAATTTACTGATTTATTACCAGTACAGTACTTCTTCATAGACAAAATATATCGCATACTAGATATATTACTAAATATAGGTATGGATTCAGGCTCTAATAGTCGTTGCGATAGTCTATCGTATGCGATCCCGCCAAAAACCGAGACTTGATACTGGTGAAATGTATTCAATCATTAGGATATAATAACCTGCAAATATCGAGTGTAAAATCTATAACGTGTTTATTTTTGCTGCGGTGTTTTGTGCGGACGTGATTATTGTTATTATTGTTATTTTTTATTTATTATTATTAATGGATAGGCAATGCGTATAATCCCTGCAGATGACTTTCGCATGTCAGCAATACCCATACGCGTTTATATATATATATATATATATATATATATATACAAAGTATATATTATATTACGGTTCGTATTATGAGCCGTGGGCTACGCCAATGGCTTTACGTCGTTATTAGTATGAAGAAGACAACGACCATACACAGAGAGATATAAAAAGAAACGTCTATACACACGGTTTTGCTCATACACGCACGCAAACACACACCAGACCAAGTTTTCCGGAGGGTACGACGAACAAAAACAGATTCTCGCATATAGGGTTATTGAGACTGTGACGTTTCCGGAACTGTATATACATGTTAAATAAATAATATATATATATACACATATATAGAAAGAGAGAGAGAGAGAGAGAGAGAGACTATATACACGCTGATAGTATGTATGTGTGTGCGTGTGTTGTATATATCTACATTTTGGTCAAAAGTCATTGGCGCGGGCGACGGGAAATGTTTTAGAAAGATTATATATTACGGTTCAGCATATACACACAAGTCACTTAGACACACGCGAATATAACATAAATATATATATATATATACAGGACTGAACTACTATATATGTGTGTATCAAGTACGATCGTGTTTGCCGGCAGCGAACAAAGAAAAAATAAATAAGGAACGCCGTATATTTTCATAATAAACACTATAAATACCTATATAGCTGCACGGCGAAACGTCAACAGCATCAGTTTACGTGTGCATGCGCGCGGGTACAGCTTTTATTGTGATATTTTAATATTATAATTTTAATGATACATATTATATTATAATAATATTTTAGAACGCGACGAGCGCGTTTGAGTAAGTCTCGTACGGCGTCTACTAGTTCGCAATTAATTTGTAACTGTTAGAAAGTAGTTAAACTTGCCTCGCCGCCGTCTGTACGCGTAGAGTAGATAGTCGGTATTATAATATTTTCATACGAGTATTTTTTTTTTCTTTTTTATTATTTTTTTTTTCTCATACTTTCTCAAATTCTGAATTGGCGAGAGTATAATATGTATGACAGACAATTTTTTACGAAAAAATTCGAGTTCTGTATGGTATATTAGCCGACTCTGCGATCGGTACCGTCGAATCGAAAAATAAACGATCCCACATTTACGAGAGTTCCAAATCGCGTTCGAAGTGAATGATGACGGTTTGCGCGATAACACTTCTGAAAAGTATAAGTCGTTATTTTTTTTCAGTATAATATAGATTAACATTATTGAGTTTTTTTCTTGTTACCTTTATCGATATAGTAAATCCGTCCGACCGTTATATTTACGTGTAAAATATCGATCGTAAAATCTATCATATCAACTTGCGCAATGCTGTAAAGTACTAGAGTAAAATACTCTTTTAGATATTTTCACCGTGAAGTGTTTTCAATGGTTTTTTTTAATATTTTTTTAATTTTTATTTTCGAAAATTTTATTTTTATTCGAAAGTTTAGTTTAAGAGTAATAACTGTTGCCCACTCCAATAAAAATGTTATATTCTGTGTAGACGAAACGACCATGACAAATAAAGGACAAATGTGACAGATGACAACATTTTTACAACTTTGAATGTTATATTATGTTTCTGAAGTGCAGTAAACAAAAATTAAATAAACAAATATAAGATACTATATATATATATATATATATATTATGTATAGTATGCATACTGTATTAAGTTAATAATAAACCTAAGAATTAATGTCCAAAAGTATTTTAGTAGTATTTTAAATACTTAAATAGAGTTCATTTTACAACACTACGTTATTACTCATAATGCGCAAGTACTATGAAAATATTTATAGGTATATACTACATATTAATATATTATTATTATATAATGTTTACGGGAATTTATGTACCACACGCATTATACCGTAGTAAACTTTGAGTTTTTCTTTGCATTTCTGGTTTACATATATTGAAGTAAAAAATTGACCATAAACATATTTTTTATTCGAAAACTAATTGATAAGAAATAATTTATTAATATCTTGAAATTTATAAATAGATGTGGAAGTAACCATCAAACTTTATTTTAATGGGCACCGTCAAAACAGAGTAAAAATACAAAAAGTGCAGTTAACCTTACAAATATGAACATTAAGTAATTATGTGAAATGTCCATGTTCATTATTTTATTCAATTCCAACATTATATTCTCACTTCCAACATAATAACATTTGATAAGTAATTAAAAAAAAATACCAAAAAAAAAAATTGTCAATTCAAAAAATTAACAGTTCTACTACTCTTTCATCGCCCAAATATGTAATATCGTATACATATTTCACTATTTCCCCGTATGTCTATAAAAATTCTAATACTTTGGATGAAACATAGAAAAATCATTGAATGAAAACAATAAATATATATAAAAACGTATTAAAAGATAACTTTATTTTTTTTATTCATTAATATTCTATTTTACTTAATAATCTACTCAACTGGGAAACTAAATTAATTGGTTCTCTGTAATAACTAACAAGTGATGTCTTATTTTTCAAGTGTTTTAATGATGAATTAAAATCATATTTTTGCAAACTGTAATCAAAATAAAAAAATAATAAAATATTTTTTTTTGTTTAATGGTATTCAAAACAACGGTTTTAAATAAAAATTAATAAATAGGTATCAAATGATATAATAATATTTAGTAGAGAAAAATATATGATTTTCCTAAACTAATACAGTGTAAAGTAAAAAGAAATAGTAAGATGCATTTACAAAAAAATTGTAAATTATTTGAAAGTTTGAAAGTTTTTCAATCAATAGTAGGCACTACAGTTTGACCTAGGTGGAAATTGAAAAAAATTAATTAATTTATTTTTAACTGAGTTTAATATTCATCTATACAATATAGTATTAACGTTACAACTTTTGAGTTAAAAAAAAAATAATAATAATAATAATAATATATTATTTAATTAGTTTTTAACTCATAACTTAACGGTCTTAATAGTTGCTTGAATTCAATAAACTCGAATTTATCGTTTTCATTAACACCTCCGCGTCTATACGTAGGTATACCAGACAAGGCGTCAGCGGCGCTTGTGCAATAAATAATAAAAAAAAAATATTCAATATCGGTATCATATTGTGCAGGGTAGTACAACAGCGGTCATCATCGAACGGCTGCGGCGAAGTCGGTGGATTTGGCGGCGGAGGACCGAATTCGAACGCGCCGACCAAACGCGGGGGCGGCGGTGGTTTCAAGCAGTTAGCCCAACGCAAATCGGACGCCGCACAACCAGTAGTACTGGTGTCAATGACCCGGCGACCGAGCTGCAATTCGGGACAGTGGAAGCCGTTCAAGTGGAAATCGTCGGACTGCGGCGAACAACGACGCGCTTCCGTCGGAGCCGGTTCGCGACCGGAACGGCATCAGCAGACGAATGTGGATCTCCAGAAACGTGTCCGACCGGAAACAGTGATGGCGGCGGCGGTGCCGGCGATAGTACCGGAAGGACACGTCAACACGGCGTTCGTACCGGACAGACTGCAAAGAGACGTGTGGTCGGTGCCTGCAGACCTAAGTCTCTGAAAGCCGCGGGGTGCAACAGCTGATATCGGAGGTCCCCTTAATAAATTGCTGTTTTGTGAGTCATGCATTATTGTGATGCGTTGATTAATATTCCTCCGTGGTATTTGATAAACGGTGAGGATAAATTTAAAAAACAAAAACACCTCTACACTGGGTGGATACCCCCGTGACTCGTGTATTCCTTTAAATCGATTCACTTGTAGGAATAAAATTGAATCCTAAGCAGTCTAGAACGAACGGGCGCGAGTTATTTCTTAAAATACTATTTTACTTGACCATCAGCCCTGAGACCCCAATGCGCATTACACCCCTGCTAAATCCGGTATTGCGTGTTACGCGCATTACTCAACAGCGGTGAATTCGCGAAGGAAATAGTCGTCGGCTAGTTTGACGTCAGATCCACCCCCCCCCCCCCTCCACGCCAACGTCGCCGTTTAATGATTCTGATCCCGGTAACACTTCAAATGTATATGATATAATAGTTAATTCGGTGTAACATAAATAGGTAACCGCGTTATCACGCATGGGGTCATTGCCAACCCTTTTTACAAAACCACGAGTTTTTTTATGGTGTTAAAATTATTATTGATCCTCCTCCCCCCTCCCATCCCATAAAAAATCTCAGCGACATGGCTGTGGGATCGAAGTACAAGTTAAACATTTGATCGTCTTGTTATTTTTGTTCTTCTATAAAATACCCGATTTGATTATTAAATTATAACTATTTCGATATTCTTCGGTAACCCGAATTTTCATAATCTAAAAAAAAGTACAGTACCTATACATAGTATACATTCTAAGTACACCACTGACACTATAGTATGTGTTTAATGACGTTCTTTCATATTAAAATCAAATATATTTTAATAAAACGAAATAAATTCCTTTTAAGAAATACATTTTTACTCTCGGGAAATCGACTTGAATTAAAACTTTACGAAATTAATCTTTTTAAACGGATCGTTAAATAGAACTGTTTTATTTTAAACCAAGAAAATTTCATTAAAATTCCAAAATATTCTGCTAGGTAAAAAATAATGTAGGTACATTTATTTTAGGAGAGACTAGTTTTAGTATACCTACGTATTCGTGATAATTTATCCGAATTGTCCGTAGTCCAATTTTCGACGTAATCTCCCCGTCAGCGTAATTGTGTATAATTATTATTTTTTTCGATTTATCTTTAAGTCGTATTAAATTTATTTATATCCCCACATCAACATCCGTTACAAAACATGCCGTCTATTCGCCAGTTACCAATAACATCCTTCGAAAAAATATCTATAGCCTTGTACAGATTATATTCCTTCTCGCATTGATTTTTTTGTTTTTATAACACTGTATATAATAAATTATGTAGGTAATTTAATTTTATGATTTTTCATATAATTTAAAGATTACGTAAAACCCAGTTAATTATTATTAATTTTCATCATGACACATCATTATATCAATATGATAAAAAATATATCGTATATTATGAGTTATGACTAGAGTTAGGATGTTGATGACCTAAAAACACACAAAAATGCCCTAAAAACTTCAAAAAATGACCTTAAAAGTTATCTAAAATACTAATTAAGTAAGTGAAAAAATTTATTTATAAATAATAATTTTTATTAGAGATATGGGTATAATAATGGGTGTAATAGTAGAAGCATTTAAATAATTTATAAATAAATTTCAATATTAAAAATAAATTAAGAAGTAAAACATAAATAAAAAAAAATTATATTAAAAATATTTGCGTAACATATTTTGTGTAACATTTGCCTTAAAATCTATAATTTGTGAAAAATGCCCCACTTTGTATAAAAAGTACAAAAAATTCCCTAAAAGATGAAAAAATGACTTAAAATGTTAAAAAAATGACGTTAAAAACAAAAAAAAATGCATTTATAGCTAAAAATGCAAAAAATGCAAAATAAAATTAGAATATTCTGCATCAAAGGAACATGAAACAAATTTTTAGCAAGGATAGCATTGTACAAAATAAAAGGAAAAAAAATGCAAAAGTCATCAACATCCTAACTTTAGTTATGACTAATGAATATCCAAATTTTAAGCAAATTTTAGTATGATTCATATTGAAAATTATAAACTATAAAGGTACATAATTAAAATAGATAAAGAAGTAATTTTAATTTCTTACTCAAGTTTAAGATTACTTTAAAAAATAAATGGAATTAACGCGTGCAGGATTAAGATGATGACACGCACTCTGTTATGCCGTGTATTGCACATAATGTATGTAAATATTTTATCGTTACTTTATTTTGTAGGTACTAATGGTCTTTTGTTCGCATACACAAAATACTATAAAATAAATGTAATAATTTTAATTATAAATAATAACGGAAGTCTTAACAGAGTAACTATAGGGATATTGTGTAAACTGTAGAGAGATTTAATATTTCCACAAAAGTGTTTGACGGGCCTTTTTCATTCAGCTATAGTTTTTTGAGACCCACCCAAATGAGTCATGACGTATTCACCTCTATAGTAGGATATTCTACAAACTTTACTTATAAACTCGATGTTTCTTAACGTTTATCCAACATGAGTTTACAGAACAATTTTAAAACACCTCATATCATTATTATATAGTTGTAAATATAGCCATACTTATATTTTATGTATAATAATTTATTATAATAATACAATATAATATTATGGCAATAATTGTAGATTAGTTTAATTTTATATATGTTTCGTGTATATAGTATGTGTTAACGTGTTGAGTATACACTTTTATTATAAAATTATATATATATATATATATTTATCTCATTGTAATAGTGTACATTAAAAACTTGGCTAGCAAGCCAGAAACGATGACAATCGTAATACTGATTTACTGATTTAAATATTTTACAAATTATATGATTTATTACACATTACACGAGTACCGCCCTAATATAAGGTTATATTAAATTAGTAATATTTATATTTATTTATTTATTTTTTTTTTTTATTGATCTTATTTAAGTTCGGCAACTAGGCCCATTAACTGTAGACAAGAATAGTAGGTTTTTTTTTTTTGAAGTATAAAATTTTTTTTTAAGGCTTATTTAGTAGGGTTGGAACACGTGTGTGTGTGCGACATGAATTTGTCACTAACAACTCGGATGACGGTCACCCATCCGAGAGCTAGCGATGCCGGCCGATGCTTGACCTCAAAATACTTTAATGACTAAGGCCAACCACAGCGCCACACCGGGCCACTCTAATAATGTATTGTATGACAACAATAAAAGTTTTATGTAAAATATTTCAATAAAATATTATTATGTTTTAATAAACACATAGTTTACCTGGTATGTTTATATCGTGCTAAAATGTTTATTAGGTCTTTAACATATTATTATTAAATAACCAAAGAGCTTTTGCCTCGTGACATTCTATATGATGTGGACGACTATTTTAGGGGTATAGATAGCTGTACGGCGTTCACCAATTATTAAACTGAAAACTTTGAAAACGTGTTGAGTGGATCGATGGCAAATGTAATACTAAATACAAAATTAGTTTTCTTCTGTACAGTAAAATATCAGTAGACGTTGAACGTTCAATGTACTTAATCGTTGATTAGATGCTGTAGTGGTTGTGTTAAATTTAAATTCAATGAAGGGTTATATTGCACACGAAAAACGGTTATGAGCGAAGGCAATCTATATCAGCCTACGTTATTACTACTAATTATAATTTATGCATGTTTTTTTTTTTTTTTTTTGATAATTTATTTGACTACTATTAGTAATACGGTAAGTAAAATCATTAGTTTTTAATGAAAACGTGCTATTTTTTTTTTTTCGTGATTTTGGCGAATATTATCAAAATACAATTATATAGACGTATGAAAAGATTTATGTTGTTTGTTTTATGCTATCACACTGTGATTCGGTATCAAAAAAACTATCATTAACTCGTTTTTTTTTTTATTTGTCTATTTGTGTATGGCTTGATCAATCGACAAATAATTGAATTATAGTATAGACACCGTTTATATTGAATACCTACTATGAAACTCTATTAACTCCTATATGGACATCCGGCGTACAACTATGAGGTTCGGCCAAAAAATTAAACATAAATTAAATTCAAACATTCCGGTCTATATATCTTTGTATAATCACAAAATATGTCCAAAATATTCTAAGTCTCCAATCACACTCTTCATGTAAATCCAAAAATAAATACATATAGAAGAAATTGTCAAAATCCAGTATAAAAGATTCTACTCTCGATTGACATATCACTCAAATTCACTAATATCTACTCTCTATTCCGACATTATTCTATCCTAAATTATAATCAATCCTAATCTAATCTTATAAAGTGTCGTCATTGAATGTCTACACTTTTTTTCATGTATGTCCAAACCATAAATAAAGTCAAAAAATACATATATAGTCATAAGTATAGATTACGGTTAGCACAAAAAATTGGTTATCATCATAAATTATGGAAAATCAAAACCTAGTGGTTATATATTGATACACGCTGCAAAAAAAGAAAAACACAATAGACTTTTGTAAGATATCGGGTAAATATTTAATTTACGACAGTGTTGTAGCGAAATAGCCTATCTTTAACGCCGTTTAATCAAAATTTTAATATTGAAATATCGTACGTCATGATACAAATTAATATGTTATGCGATTCCAGAAAAATGGTATCATTAAAAATTATAATTTATATTTAAGTGTTTTTAGAACTTACTTATACTAAGATTTCAAAAAATACATAACCGTTTCGTTAATTGCAAGTATTCATATAACGTGAATCAATATAAGTAATTTAAAAAGGATGAAAAAATAAAATACATACAATACAGCATGGATACTATAGGCACTTTTATAAAACGGTGATGTTAACAAAATAGACATCGGTGCTATGGCAATAACGAATAAGTTTGTGGCAGTATCCGAATCATTTGAGCCCAATGATACTTATATCCTATTGGAAGTGTTACAATTTATTGTAAATAGTTACAATTTTGTATAAAACAACTGTAACACTTTATATAATTTTAAAAATGCTTTTGTTGATCGCATCAAGCAAATAAAGCTTCAAAGCTACATCAAATGATTTGAATAAAACGTCTCGTTTATATTGGTGTCTATCAACAGTATCAACCTATACTATCTATGAATAATTGAAAAAAAGTTTCTATTCTAATTTCATGAAAGTCTATACATTACGTGTTTTCAATAGTGTAGCACACGATTTTACCTCTGTTTTTGTACTCAACCCCACGTTTTACTTTTAATTATGACGTTCTTTTCATGGGCATAGTACCGTGATTTATTATGCGACGGTACACTTAACTATACTCCCGATTTTTTTTCTTTTATTATTAGTTTTAAAGTTTTTGATAATTATTTTATTTACATTTACTTTTTAACCAACCAACATTTAGTGACAATGAAGGCATCTAAAAAACTTAAAGTACAAATTCTAAATATCGAGGACCAACATCTTATAAATTTAAAATGAAATCTTTATGCCTTTAAATTTTATGATCTACCTATAAAAAAATAGGTACTTATACATAGGTATATATTTCTTTGATAAGATAATATATTTTGGAAATATAATAGACTGAAAAAATCTAGATAAGATACTGAGCTTTACTTGAATATTGGATCCTGTCTCAGCGTAGGTATTAACATTCTATTTTGCCATACCATATTTCTAGAACTTCGGCATCAATTTCCCATACTTCTCACATACAATTGTCGGGAGTAAAATGTACCTACTGAAAAAATAGATTACTGATAAAAAAAATAATCTCTTCACTAAGGGATTAGTGGATCCTTAACACATTGACTGAAATTAAGTATTGAGACTACGCATTTTGAAATGTTGACATGATATAGCAACACTATTGGTATATATATATATTATATAACTACAAATTTATTATGAAAATATTATAACAGTCTAACGATAAGTAATCATTAAAACTAAAAATTTTTAGAAACTGCATATTTACTTCCATGGGTACTCTCGATGAATATTTATTCATTCTATACAATGACCTGTTAAAAAACAAAAATATAAAATAGTTAAAAATAGATTTGCATATTCTGACAATTAAAAAAAATCTGTATATACCTATTCATTTTATTTTCTAAATATGTACTTACACAATTATTTAAATAAAATAGGTATTTTCTTTTTCTCACAAACCATATCCAACAATTTATCCACTATAAAATTGTTTATTGATAATTCTATTATTGTTATAGCTTGACACCTTAACAGTAACACCACGATATATTTTTTTTATCCAACAATTTTGCATATTCTATTAATATCAGTTATTTTGAATAACAAATAATAAATATGATTTTTAATTTTTTTTATATATTGAATAATGTTTTCTTATTATATATTTTATTAATCTTAATTTCTATAATTTTAGAACCCAATTTATCATTAATCACAAAAGTCACAAAAACATAAATTTAATAATACAGCCACATTTTATTTGAAAAATAATAGGTTTTTAAAATCTATACATAAAAAACATGAGTTGATCACTAGAATTCATTAGATTTTAATGATAATAAAAAAAAAAACCTATCGAGACAACCAAATTACTATGATAACCGACCCGGGCGTAATAAAATAGGTCTATAATTTATTATTGAATGTAAAAAATAATAAGATAAATATTTTGTAATTCTCTAAAATTAAAATGCAATAGCTAACAGGTGGAATAAAATAAAATATAGATATTCAGAGTGCTGTCACATATTTAAAAAATGATGTTATACTTTAAAAAAAAAAAAATATATATATATAATATATATTAATATAATTTTTGTAACCAATGCGTAATTTGTTACCATCATTCTATTTACAATAACAAATAGTTCTAATTTCAATTTTATTTGCTCGATTTTATTACATAACACATAATTATGAGTGCGTATACACTGTAAAAAACCTCTCATATTTACATCATACAACAACATTTTTAATTAGACAAAAATAAAATCTTGAAAGTTGAGTAACTCTAATAATTTGAATATGGCTTAAGTATAGTACTAAAAAACTATTTCAATGATACAGAAAAATTTATTCTCGAATTACAAATATTCTTTTTTTTGTTTTGTAATACAAGTAACACATTATTAGAACATTTATCATCACTAAATTAATAGCCAAACATAAATTATAGAGTTTTATGTAAACAGACATAATAATTAAGTATAAATTTATTTGATTAATATCAACCAATATAATACAGTGATGAACATCACTATTTACATTTCAAAATTTAGTTCACTTAAACTATCAAAACTCTAGTAGTAGTTGAATTACAGACATAGCCAGTGGGTTCAAAAAGTGGATATATCAAGGTTACAGTAGGAAATAAAATTAATACCAATAAGATGGAAAAAAAATAATAAATTAAAAATAATTTTAAATCAAATCTCTCATACTTTTAATTTAAAAAATGAGATTCTTTCAGTTATTTTTATCAACTTTAAATAGTATTTACTCTATAAAATATAAAGGAATTGCTTCTTTTTTCTATTTTATTTAATCATTTAGGTATTTTAGTATTATTGGATTCAATCAATATCACAGTTTTGCAATTGTTCTAATAAACCTATAGCAAAACACTAGATCTTGTTTTAACCAATGTTATTAACCCATGTAAGGATATTTCCATTCAGTCAATGGTACAAATGTTTCTTTAACAGATTGAGGTGAGGTCCATCGTAGAACATAATGGGGACCACCAGCTTTGTCGTTTGTACCTAAAAAATAAAATTATTTATAGTAACAATTTTTTTTAAATCAAGAAAATACAATAAGAAAATTAATATATACTATTCAATCAATTAAATTGCTAATAGTTTACATTTAATAAATAAATATTGTATAATTATTTATTATACATCAGATGAATCTCAATTTTTTCTATATCAACCGTTATATCATGCAATGAAAAGTATAATGGAAAGTTAAACAGAAATTCAAAACTAAATTATTTAAAAACTATGTTTATTGTTTTAGTTGTATTATTAGTTAAAAGATAATATGTCTCTAGAATTAACCAAACAATGAGAGATACCATTAAATTTTTCAAAAAAAAAAAATGTTTATTTCTTAGATACCATGCGGTAAAAATGATCAAATAATATTTTTAAAAAATATATATATATAAATATTTCTATTAAAAATATAAGAAAAAAACACTATTAAGCACAATAAAACAAAATATAAAATGGCAAAATTGTAAATAGTAGAGAAAATCCTATTCATGTTTTTGAATGATAAGGCAAAAATTAATCAATCAAAGCCTAATATAAACCCAATAGAGATAACCATACTTTCAATGAATAAAATACTTTGAAAATTACACACCTTTATGGTAAGAGTATTGTGGAAATTAAGCATTTAATGGGAAAAATAACATTTAGATAGTAGTTTAAAATATTTATTTAGGATTATGGGTTCCATAACTATAAATAAATTCAAAAATATACAGTGGAAGAAATTCAAATTTAATGATACAATTATGTTACAGAATAATCTTAGTATTGAAACAGAAAGTAAAAAATACAAATCCTAAATTCATTTTATCATGAACTAAAGAAAACAAATAAATTAACTACACTTATTTTTATTATGACTTATAAGTTATAACATTTAAGTAAACAACCCATAATACAATTTAAAACTATTTCAAATTACCTGACATTCTGCTTCCGCCAAATGGTTGTTGTCCCACTACAGAACCTGTAGACTTATCATTAAGGTAAAAATTACCAGCTGAGTATTTTAATGTTTCAAGAGATTTTTTTAAAAAGTTTCTGTAAAAATAAAAATAAAATAGTAAATAACTATATATTTTTTCTATTTGAATTTCTTACTTATCCTGAGCAAATACAGCTCCAGTCAATGCATAAGGTGTAGAACTAATAACGAGATCAACAGTTTTATCAACTTCTGAATCTTTATAAACATAAACAGTCAAAAGAGGCCCAAAGATTTCTTCTGTCATAATTTTATCTAAAGGATCCTTCGTTTCCACTATAGTTGGCTGTATAAAGTATCCTTTACTGAATTTAAAAAAAATTATATTATTATACAATGTATACAATAGTAAAATTTTAAAATTTAAATATAGGAATATATATATATATATTATAAATATTATATTTAATTACCTGTTGTCATACTGTCCTCCACCAATTATTTCCAAATTAGGAGATTTCTTTGCATGTTCAATATATCCAATGATACGATTAAAAGCTTTATCATCAATAACTGCAGAAGCAAAAGAATCAAATTCATTAACATCACCAATTTTCAACTTATTACGTAGTTCTAGTAGTCCTTCTTTAATCTATTAATAAAAAAAAAAAAACCATTTAAATTAAATATAACAAGAATTATCATAAATAACAATATTACTTTAGGCCATAATGATTCAGGGACATATAGTCTGGAACAGGCTGAACACTTCTGACCACAATATTCAAATGAAGATCGAATAGTGCCGTTAATGACAGATGTCACATCTGCTGACGGATGTACAAAATGATAATTCTTACCTCCACACTCTCCAATCAATCTTGGAAAGTTAACATAACTATTTATATTTTTTCCAACTTGAGTCCATAGTCGATTAAATGTCCTAAAAAAAAATTATCATAACTAAATCAAGATATACAAAATTAAATATAAATGAAACAAAAAATTTCTATAACCCATATAATATCAGTCAATAACACTCAATCAAATCAACTTTTGTGGTTTTATAAAAAAAATCTTAATTTAAACATACTACTATAATCATAATAGTATTTTAGGGGGGTTTTAATGGTAAACTATGATTTGAATTTCACTTTCAATTTGTGATTTCACATTTTTTTCAAAACTTAATCAAGGCATAGATAGATCTTATAGTTGAATGTGTTATTTTAAGATTAGATAAACATTAAATGCATGTGTAAAAAGAATTATATGAAACAATAAAAACATCTAGGCAATGTGTTATTCATGAATTACACAATATTAAGGTACAATTTCCATGCTACGTTGTGACATGGTGTCTAGTGTCAACTACCAGTCCGGACATACTAGGCGTCATGATGCCACGCTGTTCCTCTGTTGACGCTGCAGGGAAACCGTACCTTTATAAAAAAATGAAAAACATAAGATAATCAGCATGTTAATTATTATTTATTACTGATTTAAGCAATTACTAAGTTTTAAACAATCGTGTGATCTTTCCCAAAGAAGACAAAAACTAATCAATCAATTATATTTTGCATTTGAAATTATTTTTTAAACATTAAATTAAACGCAATATTTTAATACTCATTAATTAAAATTAATAAAAAGGATACTATTTTTATTTAGTTAATTAAAGAAAATATAAATATATTTTTAGTAGATTGAGTTATAAATGTATATTTAACTTATATGTTAAAAACCTTACTGTATTCTTTACAATATCTAAATATTAAATAAAACTCCTAAATTAAAAACTGTAGCATAAATTTAATAGAATTTAAATAGATTATTTAAGATTTATAAGTCTATATAAAATTTCTTACGGAACAGATCCAGTAAAGTTGATACCCGATAAATGTGGCGATGCAGTAATAGTATCACCAAATACAGGACCATCTGCTGGGATAAAATTAACTACGCCAGCTGGAACTCCTGCTTCAGTCATTATTTCATAAATCACCCAGTTTGATAACAAAGCTGTATCTGATGGTTTCCATAAAACAGAACATCCCTAAAAAATAAAACCACTAATAAATAAAATAAAACAAATTACATAAAAATCAATTACCATTAAAGCAGGAGTGTATGCTAAATTCCCACCAATTGCTGTAAAATTAAAAGGAGACACAGCAGCAACAAAACCATCAAGACCTCTATAACGCAAACTATTTAACGTGACTTTTTTATTTTCACTAATTGGTTGGTATTTTGTCAATTCTTTAGCAAAAAATGCATTTAATCTATAATTTGATTACTATTAATTATATCATTTTCAACAATTATTTATTCACACTTTTGACAAACTTGATAAAATCTATTAATTCAGCTGCTGCATCAATTTCAGCTTGGATAACTGTTTTTGACTGACCAAGCATAGTAGCTGCATTCAATTTCATTCTATATTTGGTTGCCATTAAATCTGCAGCTTTAAGCCAAATGCTTATTTTTTCTTCCAAAGGTACAGTATCCCATTTTGTTTGAGCTTCAGTAGCAACTTTAATTGCTTTTGTCACTAAATCCTTTTGAAATAACAAATTTTAATTTAAACTGGACATAATAATTTAACAATTGATCTGAATACTTACTGATGATGCATAGTAAAATTTAGCGATTTTCTTGCCGTGATTGTGAGGCTAAAATCAAATGTCATATCATTAGAATAAGTACATTAAAAATCTAATATTTTTTTTTTGTTAATCTCATCAACTAAACATCTTCATAAATCTAAGTTATTAAAGATAAGATTAACTGTTTATGAATGATAACTCCAAATATATACAAGAATAAATAACAGATAAAAATGATAGAATAAGAAACCTTCAAATAAAAAAAAAATATTTGGTTGAAAACAATACACTACATAAGATACATATATTACATATTGTAGTTTAAAATGAATCATATTTTGATTTAACCATATTCAAATGTAATTTAAAATAAATGTATTTATCTGTAATACAGTTTATATTATAATATCTATTGTTACAATTAAATATATGGGTGTATAATAAATATTACTATACAATAACTCAAAATGTCTTACCATAACTTGATATCTAACATCTTTAGTCTTGAATTTTTCATTACCAATGATAATAGGTACATCTTCCACATTATTAGACAAGCGTTTTAATTCAGCTTCAATTTCTTTTCGTTCTTTGCTCCCAGGTAAGTATTCTAAAAAAATATTTAAGTATTATAACATAGTTAATAATAATCGACTAAAAATAAATATTATGTTTGAAACTTAGAATTACTATAACAATTTTTTATATTGAGAAAAAAAATTAAGAAATAATATTAAGAACAATACAAAAAATGTTAAACAAATATTTGTAGACATTACCTTATTTAATTTAATAAATTGAAAGTAAATTAATACAAGAAAATATTAGACTGATTTTAAATAATTTATTATCATAATAACTTCAATAACCTATTTAATTATTACTATATATTTTTTAGATTAAGTTCTTAATTCCATGCTACTTTGACCTCAATTAAAAAATCATTTAATGATTATTATAATTGATTGATAAATACTTTTTCTAATAGATCCAGAATTTTTGGTATATTGCACTTTAATCTACATATTATTTTTTACTTTATGCAAAACATAAATATTTGTTTTAATTGGGTAAAATTTATCAGGAAGAAAGTTATTAACTAATATAACTTACATTTGCTTACCTAAAAGTGGTTCATTTTCTACATTAAAATCCTTAATTTTCGGCAGTGAAAGAGATCCAATGCTTCGGCAACACAAACTAAACATAAAATAATAAATTAAACTACTTCCAAATTATAAATATTTAGTAGGTAGATTAAATATTATAATATATTCAGATAATAAACTTGAGTATCTCATGTGGTAAAGTATATTTGACAACTTAGTATGCAAAACATGGAAGTAAATATTCCATGGATATTTAATTTTTGATTTATTATTAAATATTAATTTATCAATCTATTTTAGTCAATGTTATTAATGTCTTCAGTTAAAAATACTGGTCAAGGTTAATCATGCGTCAACTAGTGTTTATATATTTATGTTTTAAATAGATATTTAAAACGAGTAAAATAGCCACCAAAATAATTTTAAAACATTTTATCAGATTATCATTGTTTTATTTGAACTATTTAATAAATTATTTATAAGTATTAATACATATTCAACACAATTACTTAAATGAAACAGTTAAGGTTAAGTCAATAATTGTAAAAATCATATGAGATCCATTTTCAATGATATCTTGATTTTTATTTATGGTTATAGAATTGGAAAGTTTGCCAGTATTTAAACATTCTATTTAACATTCCAATTATACCACAAATCTAGTCAAATCTTAGGTAATATAATGAAAACCATTGAAAACTTTTTTATTTTACATAGCAAAAAAAAATTATTTACCAAGATGTAAATTATTATCAACAATAAAATTAATTTGATAATTTAATACACATTTTAGAAGCATAATGACAAATTTAAATGTATATCAACCAGAAAAAATGAATATATTACTATCTTAATTATTTATTTACATAATAATAGTGGTTATGTAACCAGTTGCAAAATGTATTTAAAAACCATGACCCTAGGCAACATTGACAATTAATTCTCAAGCACTCTCAACTCTTTATTAATAAATAATAATAAACAATAGTTGACACTTTAAATGTAAAATATTTATTTTTAAAAAATTTATTGAATTGAAGTAATATGTAAAATTAAAAAAGGGTATAGAAGCTCTAACCGACTATGAAAGTTTTAAGTTGATACAACAAAAAATAAGTAATTTAGTTTTTATTGATAATGATGTCTATAGCCATTGATTATATAAAATAATACAGTACATTAAAAAACAAATACTATAGCCTAGTATACGTTTTTAGATCACTAAATAGATTACGAGAGTAAATATTTTTATCATTTACACAAAATAATCCGACGAATAAACGACCTGAGAATTAAATTTTATAAAGTGAACATCGTCCTACTATGTAGTAGAATAAAGGATTCGTGTAAAACGACGTATAATATAATATATAAACATACTAACAACGTTTCTAACCAATGCCTCAGACCATCAATATTTGTAAGTAAGACCTATTTTAAATTCCCAACCCCACTAATTAAAAGTAAGTAAGTAGGTAGTATATTTGAAAGTATTTTTACCTTTGAAATCCTTTTAGCGAGGCCGATGAGAAACGATTGACGTTCGACAGCATTCTGACGTAGGTAAGTGTCGTTCGTTTGACACCTTACGACCTGGTCGGTAACAAAACGAAATTATTTATAGTAATACACGTTTTTTTAGTCTGTGATTTTTAAGACAAAAAAAAAAATGATTTTTTTTCCTCAGAGAAGATACTAGTTGGTACAACGATAAAAGTATCCGGTATTTAAAACTCTTAAGTGATAAACAATACGCTATATAACAAAATAATGATCAAACAGACGACAACGTTCACAGTAGTGTATGTGACGCCGTCATGAAGTTTCGTGTACTGGCGTACTGTACTGCGAAAACAAATTATGTTCAAAACGGTGGTGGTCAGTAGGCAGCACTATGTAGGCATGGTTTCAAAACGGGAGGGGGTATGGTAAATTAAAAAAAAAATTTCTGTTGAGCGCCAAGTCAAAAACAACACGGGTGAGCGCGCTACGACCAGTCGAGGGATCAGGGAACAGTCGACATAAACAGTAAACAACTATTATAATAAGTAATAACGAGTAATTACAACGGAGCGTTGCTATTATAAGTTATTAAAATGGTACAAAACAATATAGATCATCGGGATCGCCGACTTCCCCTCCTCGCCTCTTAAAGTCTTAAATGCTACAAACCACTAATAATTGCGGTGTTGAACAATATAGTTATTATTATTTATCAATTATTAGTAGTATTATTATTTTTTATTATTATTATTATTATTAGAAGTGTTGGCTGTTCATCATTACTGTGTTTTATTTTCGCTAGGCGAACACCGGCAGAAAAACGACGACACGCGACAGCGCACGACGACCTCTCTGACGCACGGCCTACGCGATATTGAAACTGGGACAAGATCGCAAGACCACTGTGGAACGCAAGACGAGTGAGTGAGTCCACGGAGACACCACCAGAAATTCAAAACGTCGGCTGCGGTCCCGCAAATAACGTACACTATTACTGTGACGAGCCACTGACCGCGAGTGAGTGAGTGAGTGAGACACTCGGTCGTACGACAGTGAACGCGGACGGGGCACCCAACACCGCCAGTCACCACTCACCGTAGATTATAGATGGCGGAAGTGTCCCTCGCTCGGACAGACGACGTTGGCGCGCGGTTTGTCAATTGGCGACTGCCAAAACTAAAAAAACAAAAATTACCGCAGACGCGGGTCCGCAAGTGTTGCCAACGTAACACGGCGCTGCAACTTGTAATATTGTCGCGCCACTGGTACCGAAATCAAAATGCGAGTGACGGCGACTATACCCCCCCTCCACCCGCCCCCCCCGGCCGTTGCGAGCGTATACGAAATTACGAACTGGCGATTCGACCGTCGTCCGTCACCGACACCTACTCGTCCTACTCGTCTACCGACTACCGAGTGACCGGTGACCGAGTGTCGACCAGAATACTCGGATCAGTCGGACCTACCGACCTACGTATTAATATAACGGCCGATGTGATCATGTGATGCGAGCGGTGTGAGTGTGTGACTCAATCGCTCAAACAGCCAAACCGTGTTAATTGATAATTATAACTATTTATCAGTCCAGTCCCGTCGTTTATTAATTATTGCGCTGGCCGTCCGGTCACTGCGACGTTCCACAACTACAGTCAAACGCATCGTCGGCAAACACGGTGTAGGCCTGGACCTGATCGTTTGAAAACGAAATATTATGATGCTAGTCCTCGACCATCAGATTTGGAATGTTTACAAAATTTCTGACCAAACGACGTTCAAATTTACCCCCAATACACGACGATTACGGAACTGAAAGACTTATTGTTTATGAACTATAACAATATAAACAATTCAGAATAAAAACTATAAATGCATAATACAACAATGAATATGATCGATATGACAATATATTATCTTATATTATAAAACTATATAACACGTTTTTTTAACAAAATATTAACGATTTAATATTCTTAAATTTAAAAGCACAAACCACAATACAAACTTCAGATCATAAACAATTTTTAAATCGTTCAAATGAAATTTAGTTTTTAATATTGTCATGTATTCACATGGTGATACTGACAAATTCATATAATACAATATTTAAGATTTTTTTTTTTTTAATGTTTATACAGTCTTTAAAGTAAGGGTTGTATTAAATACAATTTAAATTGGAAATTTAAAATATTTTATAACCAATAAAAATTACATGGATTGATAACTACAGAAAGGTGACAGTTATGAATTTTTAATTTAAATTTCAAACTTTAACATACTTATAAACAATTTTGATTTCAATGAATTACACTACCCTTATATTGACTGACTATACTGGATATATAAGTAAAGGTTATATTATTCTATTAAAATCAATTGTCTCATTTTATGTGTTATTTTATGGTTATACAAGATTGTTTTTTTATTAAATATTATATAAGATTTAATTATTGTATACATTAAAAAAAAATTGTTTAAAAAATATCTATAACTTACACAACATTGCAATTAGATTTATAAAATAATGTTTTAAATGAAAGATGAAACATTCATTTTATTTTAAAATGTAAATAAAATAGTCTATTTCTTTAAAAAAAAGTAAATGTAGAATTCAATTTTTAAGTGAATCTTTTGAACACTGCATAAAAATTATAGTAACAGATTCTATAAAAAAAACATTGAATTAACAAAAAAAACACATCTTAAACAAATTTAAATAAAAATATGCTCAGGTTTTGGAACAGATAAATATAAATATATGTTATTGTTATAAAATGCATTTTATATACCTATAGTATAATTATTATGTGTATGTATACTTAAATTTAGTTATAGTTTTAGTTAAATGCATAGACCAAATTTAAAAGACACAATTTAACTTTGATAATGTATATTGTTTTCTTGGAAAACAATAGAATGTATTTGTACAATATATTAAACCCTTAAACAATCGATGCTTAAAAAAATAGCAATGTAAAATATTCTTTTTACAATAAAATTCTAAGCTGTTCATCTTTTGGTACTTTATTAAGCAATAAACGACCATCATAACTTAAAGAAGCTAATATCCATGAATTTGCAGAGGACCACTCAACACAGTACACAGAATCTTCATGTTGATCACATGTAGCTACTATTTTATCTTCAATGGAAGTTTTTGTTTTTAGGTCTTCGTTTTCAATAGCTGAAGATGAAATCCCAGCTAAACGTGTTATAAGGACTTGACCATCACTTGAAGCTGTTCCAATTAATTCATCATGTACTGGGTTATATCTATAAAAATGAATAACAATAAACAATATATATGATGGTTGAATAAATTAAACATAAAAATAAATAAAAGTACTATCTAATAAAAAAATAGTATACATGTTTTTACTAAATAGTAAATGAGTATAATATATTTCATTAAAATATGTTTGTATTTGTCACCTAATAGACCAAATCCAATGTGAATGATCAGCGCGAGATATTAGAGGTTTGCTGGAATTACGTATATCCCAGAACTTAGAATATCCATCATCTCCACATGTCGCCATATAGTACTGACGATTTGGATTAAAATCAAAATCTCTGGAATTATTTTAATATTATTATCATGAGAATACATTACTTTAAGAACATTTGAAATCACAAAAAACTAAATATTTATAACAAATACAATATATGTTTTACAGTAACAAAAAAATAAACTTTAATTATTTAATGTTAAATAATTAAAATACATAAATAAAAATAGCTTTTTTGACTTAAACTAAAAACTTATTTTAAAATGCCATAATTTATAGCTTAGAGCTAGTTTTTCAATTTGATTTATTCATCGAATAATTAAAATTATTTGTTGGAGAATAAAAATATGTTATTTTCCAATTTTTTAATGTTTGAATAAGTCTTACTTGAAGAATAAATTACAAATAAGTTATTTGGTACTTTTTCTACCAAATAAGAATTTAGTAGATTAAATATTTATTATACCTAATAATTTGGGTATGAACTCCATCTAGACTCCATGCAATTTTAGTCTGGGACCTTAAATCCCAAGCTTTTATATTACAATCATCAGCAGTTACAAATTGTAAATTAACACTTTGTGGATTCCATTTACCGGTAGTAAACCTTGGTTGACCTAAAAAAATAAACAACTACACATTAGTTAAATAAAATAAATATATTATTTTACTAAAAATCTTTACTTTAATAAATATATTTATTTTTTCAAATTTCAGAAATTTCAAGTCCTAATGTTAGGTATATCCAGATACAACTAGATGAAAACATGAATATATCAAGTATAAATTTCAACTTCAGTTTTAATAATTTGTTTATTTTCTAGTAAAATACAGAATATCATACCTTTACCATCCAATACCGCAGTACATACAATTTTTACTCCACTTTCACTCACATCCCACATCACTAAATTATTATCAATAACAGAACACATGTATGCATCATTAGTAGGATGAAACGTGGTCACCTAAATTAAATTAAATTTAAAATTCTATAATTAAGAAAAAAAAATAATTATAAATACCTTAACATCAGTACCATACTTTTCTGAAGGAAAAGTAATAACATTTTCTAATTGACCGTCACTTTCTGGCAATCGCCATAAAGCTGTACGTTTTTCACAGTCTTGTTCTATACTAGCATAACAAGTAGATATCAAGCGTTTATCTGTTGGAGAAGAAGCTAATGACCATATTTCACCACTGCTATGCTCATATATCTAGAATATAATTATTAAAAATTATATTAATTTATATCAGGTGTCCTATAGTTATTAAATTAAATAAATTATTATACTTAATACAAGTTTGGAATAAATAATGTTAAAACTGATTTAAAATTATTAATGGATGATTAAACATAAATATTATGAAATCGTTCTATATTAATTAAATTTCAAACCAGATTCATACAAAATTACATAACACATAAACAATCATTATTGATTTATAACAATTTGTTCAATCACTCCAATGAGCCAGTTTTTATTCATCAATTTTATCTTCCTTTAATTATTTAAAAAATACAAAAAAAAGAGAATATTTTATTAATACATACTTGAGGGCAAAGTGTATTTGTCTCTTCTTGTAATTTAACAAGGTGAACTTGATTATTAGATGTGATCAATGATTGAGTTCCGATTAAAAAACAGTCTTGATCGACATCAGCGTGCAAGGTACACAATGATCTGGCCTAAAATGTAAACAAGACTTAATAAAATTCATAACCCTTATTATGTGTAATTATGTTCTTATTATTAACTAAATACCTGAAATTCAACTCCATAAATTATAGGATTGTTGGACATTATGTCAATCAGCGTTGCTTTTTTCGTATCCAATTTCAAATCTTTGAATTTAAAAATTAATAAGTGTCGTTTGAAGTCTGAGTAAACATCTCATGGACTATGAGTAAATAAAGTAGTAAATAGTAAATACAAAAAGGAAACTAACCACTAGGAAAGAAGAAATTGAGTATCGAGTAACAACTAATAGGCAATTAGAATTTGAAGTACCTACTATTTAATACATTTTGTTATTATTATTATTATTACCTATTACATATTAACACAGAATATAACATATTAGTATTAATTATTACTATCTGTACTTTTTGTAATTAATTAATAATTATTATTTCCACGGAAGAATATTCCGTGTTATTGCTATTCTCAATTCTGATAATACGTTATCTGTATTGAATAAGTGATTTGACTGATAAGAATGATATTATTGTGCATTCTGCATCCACAATTTTATAGATAATCGTGTGCATCTAATTGTAAACATTCCCATTATAGTTGATAAAAAATTAAAAAACAAATCGAAATCGGACCTCAGTATTCAGTAATCCGCAATCCGTGGTAAAATCGCCATCGCCAACCGTTCGAATGTGAAACGATTTTTTGTAAATTAAATTTAAAATATTTGAAAATTTTTGAAAATGGCGACGGCGTCGGCCCCTGTAGAATTTCAGAACCTCACATTATCCGAGTGCTTTGACCAAGGATTGTCGTCTTACGAGAGTATTTGCGAATCGACAGAGCCAGCTAAGGAGTCCGGAACACAGGTTAGTGTTATTGCATTACATGTAAATCAGTTGACTAATGACTACTCTCTGTTTTCAGTACAGGATAATAAAATGCATGAAAATGTTGGAGCACACTACACAACTCGTATCGGCGGCCGGTATGTTCAGCGACAATGAGACCATTGAAGAAGTACCGACGGCTGACGTTAAATACATGTTACTACCGTTTATGTTGGGATCTCTAGCACTAAAACTCACAAACAACGGCAACAGATTGGACGTTGTTAAAACAGCAGAAGTGTATTTCAGAGATTATCTCCAGAGGTATGTAGATAAAGTGCATTTGATCATTTTTAAGTTTTTCAAACTCATCCGTTTTGGTATGTCGTAGGTGTAAAGACTATGGACTGACCGACCATACAGTACCACCTGTGTACACAGACTCTGAAGAAACCACTACCCAAGCCACTATGGACTTTTCTCTTATGGCTCGTAGGCGTGCCGAAAAAATTAAGAATTATAAGGAACAAAAATTAATGGAGTCTCAATTACAACTGTTAAAGGAACAAAATGAAAGCGAGTCTGTTGATGATGAAATGAGAAGAAAATATATAGTCTCCTTGCTAAAATACAATATTGGCAAAGCTCTAGAAGAATTAGATTCGCTTCAAGCTGAAATGAGAATTTTACATTATAAATTGAAACATGAAGATAAAGACAACCCTGAACATGCAAAATCTCAAAAGATCAAACCTAAACCATTAATGCCTATTATTATCACTAAAAATGAATTACAGAAACAAGTATTTGGTGCTGGCTATCCTAGTTTGCCAACAATGACAGTTGAAGAATTTTGTCAAAAACGTATTAATGACGGAATGTAAGTATATATAAAATTAAATTTTTAAGATTCTTATTGTATTATTTTTTCTTATGTTAGATGGCATTTACCTACTGCTGATAATACCAAGTGTTTACAACAATTGTCTGAAATCCCAGAACCAGAACAAGAAGATAAAGAAGACAAAATCAATGAGGAAGAAGAAGAAAATGAAAGACAACGATTAAATGCTCGTGACGAGTACAAAGATAACCATCGCCGAGGATGGGGTAATAGGCATAATAGAAGTTAAAGGGCCTGTTTTAGAGGGCTGTTAATATTATAAATGTATTGTTAACACAAAATGCATCTATTTTGTATGATCAATACTACAAAACTGATATTCAATTCTTTACAGAGACCATTAAAACATTTTTGTAAATAGCTACATTAAACTTGAATAAATGTTGGTTATCTAAATAGTTTTATTTTTGTTTGTAAATATCAAATTAATTCATCAAGCAATTATATTTAAGACTTAAACATTAATTATAAAGCTTGAGAATAGTACATATTTTAATAATGTATTTGATAAAAAATTTGTTTTATTTATATAAGTCATCATTTGGGCAATTTGAGACTGATCTTTAACCTTATCAGTCATGATAGTAAAAAAAACATAATTTAATAGTGTTTTTTATTTCATTTGTAAATAAAAATGAATATATTACAAAACAAAATTGCTTTTTTTATGGTATCACATAATATTTATATTGTAATTTTACTTCTAGATATAGTTAGTACAGAATTTTCATCAAATTTAGTGAAACATTTAATCAGTCATCAATTTTTACATTTGAAAATATATTTTATTCAAATTATTAGCCATTACAAATGTATTCATAGAATACCCATTTCTCTCTTCAAGATCTAAAGTGTAGAAATTTAAAATTAATTTATGGAATATAATACATTGAAGTAAAGCTTTATTGTTTTATTACCACGTGTATTACTATCTTCTTATGATCTAATATTTCAAATTCAATGAGTAAATAATTTATTTTTTAATAATTAATAATTATTAACCAAATAATAATTTCCATTGATATAATTAATCTTGTAATGAGAAAAAGTAAGATTTTAGAAACTTTACAATATTAATGTTTATTATTCATAAATTGTCATGTCTTCAAAATAAGCTATATTTTCTTTTTATGCCAGATTCCCATATTTTTTTTTTTTTTTAATCAAGAACTTACAGACCTAGATACTCATTGGTACAACCGTACAGGATAAAGTGGTATACGGTATATACAATAAACATTAATCTCTCACAATGAATGTCATGTGCTTAGATTACAATATGCAGATACAAATTAATATTTAATATGTTAAGTACTCAAAAATGACAATAAATACCTTAATAATTATAATATAAACATAAGAATCATATCAGTACACAACGCTTTTTGACCATTTTATTCAATCATTTTATTTTTATAGCACAAAAAAAATATTTTTTAACATTATTTAAATAAATAGGACTTGTATAAACTCAAACCACCATTTACCATAGTTGGTTATAACTTTTAACTAATAATAATTAGTTGTAAAATAATTTTCCTTGGGTTTGTAGTAATAACTTGATATAACATTTAATTAATAGTTATTATAATCCATGAAAATGATTTAGGAAAACAATTTTATAGTTTTTAGAACTAGGGCTATTGTAATGAACCAATATTTGACATAAAGAGCAAATTCAAGAAAAAGTAAAATAAAATTAATGGAGGAAATTCTAAGAGCAAAGTGGATACATAATTTTATAAATGAACATAAATAAATTTAAATGGTATGGACAAGTTAAAGAATAGCTAAGAAGGAAGCCAAAGTCTCAACCAGAAAACAAAATATAATAAGCTGAGAAAAACAATGGAAGAACATCATTATAGAAGATAAAGAAATAGAAGTTATAGATTTGAAAGAATGAACACAGGATAGACAGATGAACATGCTAAGTATTACCCAAGGATCTTTAACTCTTAGAAGAGGCATTAAATGAAGGAAAATATTTACACTTCTGATCAATAACAATTTTTTTATTTACTGTATATTTTAAGTAAATTGGACAATATTTTTATTGACTTGATGACTTCTTCAGTTTTTCTTCGAGTTCATTTTTCAACTGTATAAATGATGCCATTGAATTTTCCAGCCTTGATTTCTCTTTTTCAATAGCTTTTAATAATTTTAAATCTTTTTCTATATTTTCTCGTTCTTTTTCAATTTGCTTTAACGCATTATTTGACATAATACTTGAAACTTTTCCGGTATTCCAATTGAATTGTTCAAATTCAAACACATATTTGTTATCAGTTGTTTTGTTTTTTACATCATCATTTACATTCTGCATTTTAATTTTATGCTTGGCAATCGATTAATTTTTGAGAACTATTAAACAATGTAAAAACCTGGAACAACATTCAAATAGCTTAATTAAAAACTCTAAGTTCTAAGTATACATATACTTAAAAACTAAAAAGTATAAGAACTTATTTTGAACTTTCTCGTGGGTAGTTATTAATTCAATACTATATCATGATGACCAGATAATGAAACCATATTTTAAAATTGAGCGTACTAAAGAATAATAAATTAAAATAAAAGTATTTTTATAACTGAAGTCGACACAACTTCTGTAAATGAATTTGTCCAGTTTTAAGGCTTCATCTTTCATGTAGCAAACATGAGCATTAAAAATTAATTTAGGTTCAAAATGTACATTAAGATCCTTGATAATTTATAAAATTGTTATTCGTGTAGAAATGGTACGAACATAAATGACAAATTACGAGAATAGAAAATAGATTAACATGTAAAATGACGATAAATACTAATGAGATCTTAGTGATTTTACTTTAAAAAAACAACTCTTATTTGGTTCATTAGAAGATTCTTGTTAATTGTAATAGTGTAAAATGTAAAAGCTCTCATTAACGACAAAATATTTAAATTACGAGTAACAAAACCAAAGACTAGTCATAAAATACTAACACGCAACTCGCAACAATACGCCATCGGAAATCGTACGTTTAAAATAATAAATAAACGATAATTTTTTTGTCTTTAAGTCACTACTTTCAACATAAACACACAGGACTAGGAAAAAGACCTTACGGCTTACATAATAATAATATCAATAGTCAAGTAAGTACTTACAACTATAGAAAAGATGAAGTCTATTTTGCATTTTCAGCTATTCATCCTATTCTGCGTTACGAGTTTTAAAATTTTGAATCAGCATTCAGCAGTCAACAGTCAACACACGGCGTCGGCGACGACGGTAACAGAACAAAATATAACAATAAACATGATAATAATAAGCACTGATAATAGATATTAATTCTAATTTTTTTTTATAGTGCTTTTACACTGATTGTACCACCAAGATAGATAATAAATAATAATATTATACTGAAGCGCGCCACGCTGGTCGCTGACCACGAGAATAGACCATAACAACTACCTATTTAATAATAACTATGTACTTTAATAATTAATAGATTATAAGTATAATTTTTAAATTTTATAATAGTACTGTACTACTGTATTATTCCTTACGTGTGGTAGCTACCAGCAAACTTTTGTGATTTTGAGCTTTCAACTATTTACTCAGTTACTCTCGTCCTACCTTATTCCCTACGAGTACGCATTA